GCAGAGGATTAACCCCTTAGGTTCCACAATGAGTATAACAAGCATGCTTTACTGCATATACAGACTGATTTTACTGTTGTGGGTTTAGAAACACAAGTCATTGTTTTAACATAATGGCAAACTTTTTCGGACAGATATCTTCAATAGCAGCCTATGTATCTCCTTCATTCTTTTAAACCGATTCGTGACTAAGAGACCTCTCCAGAAGCACAAATGAAGATCAGCACATTACGCAAAGCTTCTTGAGAAACAGAAACGGACTGTAAACATTTCCAGGGTGGAGCTCACATCTTGTGAACGCTTGTTTCCACCAGGGTGGGGCTGACATACTGTCCAGTTGGCTTGACTCGAGGGAAGGTCAGAAATTTGGCATCGCAAAGGGTTATTGCTGACTTCTCATAGAAGACCAACACAAAGTTACCTGTGTGGTTGTGTACAGTGCTATACTGCCAGAACACCTCATCTGTACATATACAGCAAGTGATAGGAGTTCACAAAAATCATGTCACATTGCTCCCTGCTACCCCACTGTTCCTTCTTTCTGCTTTGTAAAATCTTTCTCATTGTGCTGAAATGTTTGGGCTAGGCCCCCAAACAGCATTCTCTGATATGCAGATTCTACTGACCTTGGCTTCAAAGATCCAATTATGACTGGGGGGATTTAAACAGAATTGGATTTACAGTACCTGCATGTTGTCAGATGTTGGAAGCAAAGGTCAGTTTACTGTGGGGTGATAAATTGCCTCCTTTATAGTTTAATAAGCAGAGACAGCATAGCCATCATCCAGCACATACCTCACAACTATCCAAAGTCAATGTTGACTGATACTAAATAATCACTATGGACCCTTTCCAGGAGAAAAGAAAGAGCTAGGCTTATCTAAGACAACCGAGAAACACAACACAAGCAATATAGGACAGAAAATGATCGTCTTCATTTTATCTTTGTGTTTCTCTTTAAATTCATTTCCAGGGACACATCCTAAAGTGGTTGTAAACCTCAGATATGAAATATGAGTAAAGCATATCCCTCTATAGTGTGTACTTGTCTCAATCCAGGGCACTAAGGGGTAGATATACTAAAACCAATGCACTCAAAATCTGGTCCAGCTGTGCATGGTAGCCAATCAGCTTCTAACTTCAGCTTGTTCAATTAATTTGGTACTAAAACCTGGAAGCTGGTTTCTATGCAGAGTTGCACCAGATTTTGCACACTCTCCCGCCTTAGTAAATAACTCCCTGTCATTTCTGTTTGCTGCTTCCGTCCTCTACTATCACGAGTCACTTCTGACAAGTTTTCCTGACACCAAGAGAATTAAAAGGTGACAGGGAAGGGATCTCCAGCACATGGTCTGTGACTGACAGCCTCAGCTCTGTTCCTGTGAGCTGTGCGAAGGGGGATATGTTCCTTCTTCCAATCAGCTCAAAGAGCTCTCCTTACTGAGCTCTGTAGAGTGTAACTTCAGCTCTCTCTCCCTGCTTTTTAGAGCTGAGAGATCCTATGTATGTTCTGCACTTTCAACGAATGTAGAGAAGAGATAGCTGCAGATAAACAGGTACAACTTTGCTGGGTATATATGTAAGGGTTTACAACCACTTTAATGCTAGGGTCCATAACAATATACCTGATGATGCTGGCAATTATGGAAGAAAAACTGTGTCCTATCAGCAACAGATGTGGTCAGCCTTTTAACAGAGCAGACCTGCTACAAGACCCCTCCAGAACTAACAAACTTGTGATGAGAGATACACAAGGGCTGCTACTGCTGATCTCCTTTTCACTTGTAGCCAGGCATGCTGATCCCCTGGCTTCAATATTAGCAAGTTAGCTAAATGTTCTAAATTTCAACCAACCGCATGATTGCTTCAGGTCACCAGCCTTTCAAGGATCCAGGAGCGTCTATAACAGTTGTTCTGGATAGAAGTTCTACCCAAGTGTGTTCTGTCCCAACCTGCAATTTATTCACAAAGTGAAGCTCAGCGCTTTATTATTTTGCTATGCAATCAGCAATTTACCGCACCTTTTTTTTTTTTTTTTTTTTTAACTCATTGCCATCCAGATTGACAGCATTGCCAGTGACAATAAACCCCTTCCATTGTACACTGCTATCAGATGAACGTGGGCATCCTTCAAACTTATCTCCAACAGGAACTCTCACTTTATGTACCCCAGTGAGCTGCAGACTGGGTCATTCCCTGCCTGGAGGTGGGAAATTACTAGGCCCACAGCTCACTGGATTACCAAAAAGAGCAATTATGGAGTTTGGAGGATGTATAAGCTCATCTCTATGTGTGAGTCACAAATAAAGGAGGATTGGCTTAGTTAGGGAAGGTAAAGGATGTTTCTGCATCACAAGCCTTGTGCCCCACACAGTAATTGGATTAGGGACCTGTTTAGATGGTCATACAGGAGTCTTTAGATGTATCTCAGCTTTATCTCAACATTTGTTCAACAAGGGTGCTGGCTGCACATTTAGATTGCTTTTAGAGGGGAATTCTAACAAAGAAGACACAATTGACTGAAAAAATAATAACGAAAAAAGAAACATACAAAATATCAAATATTATTTTCTGTTGAATGTTACAAAAGAAACTCAATGTCCATTCAATGAGAATACATTTTAGTTTTCCTTTAAAAATATAACTTGTGAAGAAGGAAATATAGGGAAGCAACTGGTAATTTGTCTTATAAGGAAACTTGTCATGAGAAAATATACTGGCTGCCATTGCCAACTGCCTCCTGAGACTGCGAGTTGTCTGACTGTCAAGGTAATCCTGTGGGTCTCATAATTTCTAAATCCCTGACATAGGGCATATATAGGACATAGGGGACAGTAACTTGCCTACCGGGCACTTATACCCCCTTCCTGCCCAGGCCAATTTTCACTGTTGCACTTTGAATGACAATTGCGTGGTCATGCAACATTGTAGCCATATGAAATTTGTATAATTTTTTTCACACAAATAGAGCTCTCTTTTGGTGGTATTTAATTGCCACTGGGTGTTTAATTTTTTTGCACTATAAACAAAAAAAGAGCAAAACATTTGAAAAGAAAAAGTTTTTCTTTGTATGTATTATAAAACTTTGCAAACAGGTAATTTTTCTGCTTCACTGATGTGTGTTGATGAGGCTGCAATGATGGGCACGGATAGGCAGCAATGATGGGCACGGATAGGCAACACTGATGGGCACTGATGTGGTGGCACAGATAGACAGCATGATGGGCTGCACTGCTGGGGGCTGATCATCAAGGCACTGATCATCAGTGCCGATCCCTTCGCTGGCAATTTCCGGTTCTCGGCAGTACTTTCCTCACGCTGTGAAAGTGCAGCCGATAACTGCATTTACCCAGTGACCGCTGTGTCTTTGGACACAGCTGATCACGTGTTAAAAGGTCACCGTGATTGGCCGATTACCGTACCCCGTGATCAGCTGCGTAGGACACAGCGAGCACCGGCGGGGCCAGGCGCGCACTGCTAGGGGCGCACAGAGTGGTGTGTCCTGGAATGATGTCCAAGGACTTCGTCCCAGGATTACACAACTTCGCTGTAGCCGTCTTTCGGCTATAGCGCAGTTGGGAACCGGTTAAAACACAAGTCAGCAACTCCTATATACCCAATGCTACTTATATACAATTACATAAACTCATAGATTTCAACTGTATCACCAAAATCATTTTGTGTCAAATATACACAGATAAGGTGTTTCTAGCTTCTGAGGGAGACAAGATACAGAGGATTTCTGATTTATGAGTTGTCAGTATGCTATGTGCTTTAGATACATGTGATTGGGAGATTTTATTTTTATTGTCTTTACTTAAATGTATGTATAGCCAAACCTTTTTGGTTTTGGACTTGGTAGGGAAGGGTTAAAAGTCCAGTCAGGGTGTTTTTTTTTTTTTGCTGTATCCTGCTAGAGAGTTTTACAGCATCCAAGGAAATTTCCACTACAGACAGTTGTTGCTGAAACATTTGTGCCCATTGTATGATTTCAGCAGGCCTCTTGCTTTGGTGACAACTCATAATTTTTAGATTTTTTTTCTCACTTTGTTTGGTGATGGACAAATATAAGGTCTAACCCATCCATACTCTATCTAAACCTAAAACAAAAAGTTTTACTGTTAAATACACTTTAATAAACAGTATTTCACTATTGGAACTTCCTTTATTCCTTTTAGTTGTGTCTGTTTACTGGCAGATTGACGTGTTTGGATATTGTAGCCCATGAAGTCTATGGATGTTTAAAGAGGAACCGAAGGTTTCCATTATCCACATTGGAAGCACTTTAAGTCTTTCTTAAAAATACGAGGTCAATTATTGGGGCACCTCCCCACTGATGGATGTCACATAAAGCTGTTTTACAGTGAACGGTGGACCAAACTTTAGGTACTACTTTAGTTGACATTTATGGGTGGAGTTTTATTTGACATGGGAACATTTATTGTCAAGACATTTTTGGTGAAGTTTTATTGGATATATGAACATTATATTATTATATTTGTTTATGTATATTCCACACAAGTCAGCAATGACAGCTCCTATAATTGTAATCTTCACCAGTTCGCCTTAGAGCACAGAACAACCCAAATTTCAGTTGGCTTGATTCTCAATAAGCGTCTTCCCTGTGTGGGTGCCCCCTGACATGTTCCCAGCAGGGAGAACTGCAACTGAAATTCATACCTGCAGGTCCTGGTCTGGCTGAGAACCCAGAACTACAGGACAGCTGGAACACAGTATGAAACATTTTTATCTTAAATGGAGACCCCCCTTTAGAAAAAACCTGTTCTAAGAGAAATATAAATGCTGCCATTACTAACATTCTAAAAATGCATGTCTGTCTCTTTCTTGAGTATTTCTCAGTTACTGATGATCTGTATACATGTTACACACCAATGTCTTAGGAGTGATGAAGCAAATGGATCAATATGACAGCTAGGCATTTTCAGAATGAGAGGTCAGAATGGTAACCTCCATATTCTCTAAGCTGCACAGGAAGTGAGCTAGGAAGAAGTAATCTTCTCTCGCAGTCCATAGAGAATTTCCATCTGTTTCCGTTTGTCCTTGGCACGGCTGATGATGGTCTTCAGCAGGTGGCAGTACAGTTCCAAGGAAGCTGGGCTGTCATCGTTTCCAGGCACTGGGTAGGTGATCATGCTGGGGTTGCAGTTGGTGTCCACTATCCCAGCCGTGGGGATGTTCATCTTGGCGGCATCGCGAATGGCTATGTGCTGCTCGAACACGCTGTTCAGGGTGTTGAGAAAGATGATGAGGTCCGGCAGCCGCACACCCTCCCCATACTGGATGGTGGAATTGGTCAGCAGGCCGCCCTGCCAGAAGCGTGTGTGGGCATATTCCCCGCAATCCTTGGCCAGGCTCTCCACCATGTGGGTGAACTGACGGCGGCGGCTCACAAACAGAATGATACCCTTGCGGTAAACGACATGAGCAGTAAAATTCAGCATCATCCAGAGATGCTCCAACGTCTGGTCCAGATCGATGATATCCTGTTCCAGACGGCATCCAAAGATGTATGGCTCCATCAACCTGGATAAACCAGAGAGAGGTCAGTGCAAGCAAAGACTATATAGGGCTGCATTACCAGTTCACAAATTAAAATTTCTGTCTGTGAAAAGCATCTACAATCTATGGTGTCCTCTGACTGTAGAAACAATGTGCTGAAATGTAAAAGAACAAATTCTAGGCAAATAATGAAAATGGTCTAGTGTAATTAATGTATATTTTAGGCATTAACTATTGTTAAATAGTGCTAACAGCCTTTTTGTTCCCAACTCCCAGCGCACCAGAAATTAAACTTAAAGTGGAACTTTACCCATAACAACTTGATAAAAAAAATTATGTTCTTTAACAAGGGTCATACATTCCACATTAATAATCATGCTGCCATAATAAGTGTGTGCTGTAAAATGCCTCCAGCATTGCTCCTGTTCTTCTCGCTGGAGGCTGACATTTTACTAGAGCCCAGACCCAGCAATAAATCTTTATGCTGTCGGCAGATTGGCCTCTATATTTTTTGGCACAGCAACGAAAAAAAAAAAAAAGAGAGAGCAACTGAGCATGTGCACAGCAGGGTGAGACAGTGTATTACTGGATGTTAATTTCCTGACTAAAGTTCTACTTTAAGCCAACCATACACTGGGACGAGATGATCTTTTGGTCAGTGTTTGGTCTGTCCTACTTAACAGAAGTCAATTATTTAAAAGAACTCTGTTGGAGGGCAAGCTGGAAAATTTTCTGATGATCAACTGCAGCCAATCAGCTATAGCTGCTGATCAATGCATTCTGACAGCTGCAGGTTCCACTGTCAGAATATAATGTCCGGGGAAATTCCTCCATCCACTTCCTTTGTGCAGATGAAGGAATTGTTAGTTTATTAATGTTCAGCCTGATGGCTGCTGAATGAAAAAAAAAACAATCACAGTGTATGGCCAGCAATACTACACTGTGATCCAGTCAGGATCCTCCGCCCTGCATTCTAACATGTTTGAGGCACTGAAAGCTAGGAAAGAAGGGAAAAGCATAGGACCTCTATAGAGGGACAAGATATTTATAGTCCAATGTGCAGGTTCAAGGCAGGGAGGTTACACAGGAAGTTATAAAACTGCAAGTTCTAAATATCAGTGTACCCCTTCCTGACCCTTCGTAGCTATGTATGAATCACAATGGCAAATATTTAAGCAGATAACAGTTCATAGATATGTATTTCATGAAGATTTTTCTCGATTGGCTAGCTTGGTTCCATGCTGACTGAACAAATAAGAGGTAAAAGTGTCATTTGTATTCAGTGATTTTAGCAGCTGATATTAACACAAATATGGACTGGTTTAGGGGCTTGCCTGAGAAGTAACTTACCATCTTTCCTCTCACTCTTCCCATGTACCCAGCTGCTTTTTAGTCACATTTCTATTGGCTGCAAATATCTTCATCTTTAGCATGAAGAGGCAGCATATGCCTTTCCAGGGTCCCCCAACCAAACACAATCTGAAGAATTCAATAACATTACTGCTTTTCTGATAATATTGCCCAATAAAAGGTCTGCACCAGATTCAAAATGCTCTGCTGTCATTGTCAGTAGCTCTATCCATGGTAGTTCTTTACAAAGTGGTGCTACTACTGCACCATATTCAAATATAATTACCGTCAGTTCATAGATAATAAAACTGGAGGTAGTTAAGAACAACTGAAAGTTGGCATACAGAGACTGGCAGAGTGCCTGTCTCTGTATGGTCTATAGCAGGTGGCATATTTGCTGCCACTACCCTCTCTCTTCCCATTTGTCACTGGTTGGCAAAGATGCTATTGGCTTCACAACAGCAGCCACTTAGCAACCAGTGACGCTAACAGTGGTTCGAGCCTGACAGGGATTCAGAGATACTAGTTCCCAAACAGGTCAGCTCTCTCCTTGTGGTTGACAGCCGGCAGAGGGCAGATTCGGTGGGCCGATGGCAGGCTGTCTATCGGTTATGGTTCCATTCAATTCCTGATAATCAGAAGAGGAGTGGACATGATGGGGAGCTAGTATCTCTGAATCCCTATCAGGCTCCACCCGCCCAGCTGAAAAACTAATTGGCCACTGCACTGTGTGACAGCGAGGGAGCTCAGCTGCATGGAGGACAGAGTATCTGTACAAACACTCCGGCCTCATCATGGCTCCACACATTGTGCTTGCTAGGAAACCAACAGGCACACAAATCTGTCGCCTGTATGGACATTCCTCAGGGCTCTGAGGAAGTCACGTGACTAACGCGACGCAACGCAACGCGTAGGCACGTGGTGACGCACTTCCGGCACGGACGCAATTTTACTAAACCCATGCAACTACACCCAGAACATGAGGTTCTAAATGCTTGTTTATCCATGATTACATTGCGAGTGCAAAATTTGGAAGGCTTTGCTCTATTCCGCATATGATAAAAAGTAATACACTATGGGAGGTACTGCTTATGTTTTCTACTGAGATATTGACTTATACCACACCTGTATACCTGGAGAGGATTTTGCCACCATTACGTATATTCCTGAGAGGGAGATCGTTGCAGGGAGAGGTGCGCAGTGACAGAGGAATCATGTAAATGGAGGATCCAGTTTGGTGATCCTAAAGGTGTTTTGACTCTTATGGGTTGAAGCAAGGAGGTGAGCGGCTATTTCAGCTATCTGTGGATATCCTTCTGTGGTTACGCACATCCACTATCCATGGGCACGAGTGTTTATGCATTGGACTGCATGGTGTTTAAGCACCAATTTGGACTTTCTTCACATACAGTTGCAAGAAAATGTATGTGAACCCCTTGGGATTACGTGGAGTTTTGCATGAATTGGGCATAATATGTGCTCTGAACGTCATCTAGGTCACAACAATAGAAGAACACAGTCTGCTGAACATAATACTACACAAGCATTAGATGTTGCCATGGTTTAATTGCACATAACATGTAAACATTCACAGTTCAGGGAGGAAAAAGTATGTGAACCTTTGGACTTAATAACTGGTTGACCCTCCTTTGGCAGCAATAACCTCAACCAAACGTTTCCTGTAGTTGCAGATCAGACCTGCACAACGATCTGGAGTCATTTTGGACCACTCCTCTTCACAAAACTGTATCAGTGTAGCAATATTCTTGGGATGTCTGGTGTGAATGGCTCTCTTAAGGTCATGCCACAGCATTTCAATGGGGTTGAGGTCAGGACTCTGACTGGGCCACTCCAGAAGGCGTATTCTGTGCTGTTGCAGCCATTGTTTTGTTGAATTACTTGTATGCTTTGGGTCATTGTCCTCTTGCATCACCCGTCCTCTGCAGAGCTTCAGTTGGCGGACAGATGGTCGTACGTTTTCCTGCAAAATGTCTTGATAAACTCTGGAATTCATTTTCCCATCAATGACAACAATCCGTCCAGGCCCTGAGGCAGCAAAGCAGCCCCAAACCATGATGCTCCCTCCGCCATGTTTCACAGTGGGGATGAGGTTTTGATGTTGGTGTGCTGTGCCTTTTTTTCTCCACACATAGTGTTGTGTGTTCTTCCCAAACAACTCAATCTTGGTTTCATCTGTCCACAGTATATTTTGCCAGTAGTGCTGTGGAACATCCAGGTGCTCTTTTGCAAACTTCAAACGTGCTGCAATATTCTTTTTGGCCAGCAATGGCTTCCTCCGTGGTGTCCTCCCATGTACTCCATTCTTGTTTAATGTTTTCCTTATTGTAGATGTGTCAACAAAAATGTTAGCATGTGCCAGAGATTTCTGTAGGTCTTTAGCTGACACTCTGGGATTCTTCTTTACCTCATGCAGCATTCTGTGCTGTGCTCTTGCAGTCATTTTTACAGGACGACAACGCCTAGGGAGAGTAGCAACAGTGCTAAACTTTCTCCATTTGTAGACAGTCTGTCTTACCGTGGACACATGAACATCAAGGCTTTTGGAGATAATTTTGTAACCCTTTCCAGCTTCATGCAAGTCAACAATTCTTGATCGTAGGTCTTCTGAAAGCTCTTTTCTGCGAGGTATGGTTCACATCAGACAGTGCTTCTTGAAACCAGTAAACCCAAAACAAGTGTGTGTGTTTTTAAGGGCAGGACAGCTGTCAGCAACACATCCAATATCATCACACTGATTGGAGTCAAGGTTGGCTCACTCCTGGCTCCAATTAGCTCTGGGAGACGTCATTAAGCTAGGGCCTCACATACTTTTTCCTCCCTGCACTGTGAATGTTTACATGTTATGTGCAATTAAATCATGGCAACATCTAATGCTTGTGTAGTATTATGTTCAGCAGACTGTGTTCTTCTATTGTTGTGACTTAGATGACGTTCAGAGCACATTTTATGCCCAATTCATGCAAAACTCCACGTAATCCCAAGGGGTTCACATACTTTTTCTTGCAACTGTACATATTTCGTTTTTTTTGTGTCATGCGTTTATTTTGCATGTTTATTTCTATGTAGTGTGACACAGACATTTTCACTTCTGTGTTTATTATTATTTATTTTTTATTGTCACGTGGCATTTATTTTGGTTTGTTTTTTAAACACAAGTTATGTGTTTGGGTTGATATATGTTTTATAGGGGTATTTTATTTCCTTTTTTTTTCTGATATTAAGTGAGTGTGCACATTCAATATTAGAAGTGTTCACTTGTATGTACTGTATGTGCATTTTTCCTTGATTTGGAGTCCTCTTTTGGACAATATTCACATATTAGTCCCATTTTTGGACTATTCTATCTTTTTTGTTTGAGTGTCCACCATCACTATATATCCAATTTAGGATCAATTCACTTATATACCATACTTGGTGAAAGTATTGGTATACATACTTCAATTATTACCATCACTTTGGTGGATTATAATTCACTTTGTTCACAAAGGATCCCCAGAGGATCAGGGTTAGACATTCATAGATCCCATGTGGATCAGGTCACGTTTATGATATTTGCACTTTGTGTCACTTTATATTTATCACATTTATTTATATATGTATTTATATGAGTTCATGGTATGTGATTCATTTATTGATTTGTTTGTCATTTGAGTAGCGCTACATCATTTTTTCTCATCTTGTTCATTTGATTATTGGGTATATGATTAGATGTTAGTAGCTTCTCTCTGTTATTTATATAATCACTTTTTCAGTTAGGAGCGCAGGAGGTTTACACCATTGTTCTAGGGATTTAAAATACATTTCACTATTTTTTTATGAATATACAGTATCTCACAGAAGTGAGTACACCCCCTCACATTTTTGTAAATATTTTATTCTATCTTTTCATGTGACAACACTGAAGAAAAGACACTTTACTACAATGTAAAGTAGTGAGTGTACAGCTTGTATAACAGTGTAAATTTGCTGTCCCCTCAAAATAACTCAACACAACCATTAATGTCTAAATCGCTGGCAACAAACGTGAGTACACCCCTAAGTGAAAATGTCCAAATTGGGACAAAAGTGTAAATATTTTGTGTGGCCACCATTATTTTCCAGCACTGCCTTAACCTTCTTGGGCATAGAGTTCACCAGAGCTTCACAGGTTGCCACTGGAGTCCTCTTCCACTCTTCCGTGACAACATCACATAGCTGGTGGATGTTAGACACCTTGCACTCCTCCACCTTCTGTTTGAGGATGCCCCACAGATGCTCAATAGGGTTTAGGTCTGGAGACATGCTTGGCCAGTCCAGCACCTTTACCCTCAACTTCTTATAGAAAGGCAGTAGTCGTCTTGGAGGTGTATTTGGGGTCCAGTCCCCAAAGGGAGGGGATCATGCTCTGCTTCAGTATGTCATAGTACATGTTGACATTCATGGTTCCCTCAATGAACTGTAGCTCCCCAATGCCGGCAGCACTCATGCAGCCCCAGACCATGACACTCCCACCACCATGCTTGACTGTAGGCAAGACACACTTGTCTTTGTACTCCTCACCAGGTTGCCGCAACACACGCATGAAACCATCAGAACCAAATAAGTTCATCTTGGTCTCATCAGACCACAGGACATGGTTCCAGTAATCCATGTCCTTAGTCTTCTTGTCTTCAGCAAACTGTTTGCAGGCTTTCTTGTGCATCATCTTCCTTATGGGACAACAGCCATGCAGACCAATTTGTTGCAGTGTGCGGCATATGGTCTGAGCACTGACAGGCTGACCCCCACCCCTTCAACCTCTGCAGCAATGCTGGAAGCACTCATATGTCTATTTCCCAAAGACAACCTCTGGATATGACACCAAGCACGTGCACTCAACTTCTTTGGTCGACCATGGTGAGGCCTGTTCTGAGTGGAACCTGTCCTGTTAAACTGCTGTATGGTCTTGGCCACCGTGCTGCAGCTCAGTTTCAGGGTCTTGGCAATCTTCGTATAGCAATATGCCATCTTTCTGTAGAGCAAAAATTATTTTTTTCAGATCCTTTCAGTTCTTTGCCATGAGGTGCCATGTTGAACCTCCAATGACCAGTATGAGAGAGTGAGAGCGATAACATCAAATTTAACACACCTGCTCCCCATTCACACCTGAGACCTTGTAACACTAAAAACTCACATAACACCAGGGAGGGAAATGGCTAATTGGGCGGTTTAGACATTAATGGCTGTGTGTTGAGTTATTTTGAGGGGACAGCAAATTTACACTGTTATACAAGCTGTACACTCACTACTTTACATTTTGTAGGAAAGTGTCATTTCTTCCGTTTTGTCACACGAAAAGATATAATAAAATATATACAAAAATGTGAGGGGGTGTACTCACTTCTGTGACATACTGTGTGTGTATGTATGTATATGCATCCACTTTTTTATTTCTGCCCCAAGTTCATCTTTGATATCCACCTTTTACTGAAATGATCAAAGTTAAAGCGTTTCATAGCGCACCTGTGACGGCATCCTTTCTTGTGACCGAGATGGACACGGGAATCAAACAGTGCCTTCACCGAGAGGAGCTCCCTTATGTTAAAGAAGTCGGGGTGCTTCAGGGACTCAGAGATAAGCCGCTTGTCAAAATCTAGAATCCAGGAAACAAAGACAGGAAAACAGACACATTGAGCAATATTCTGCTAAAGTTACAATGGGAGTTGTACAGCAGAACTGGTGCTGGGTTCAGTTCCTCATTGGAATTTGTATATCTTCCCTGTGTCTGTATGCACATCCTCCAGGTGCCTCCGTTTCTTATACCAACCTAAAAAATATATTAGGAGGGTAATCATCTCCCCCCCAAACTGATCCCACTGTCTGTAACAATGACTGGGACAGCACATTGGAGTGTAAGCTCCTTTGTGAGCCATTTGAATGGTTCCATGCTATGTACAAGTGCTGCAAAATGAAAAAAACAACATACATTAAAATACTTCTACTGTACATGGTCCCCTTATGGGTTTTATTACAGTTTTAGGTGGAATGTATTTATTTGAGGTAGTTTATAGCACCAACAGATGTGATGAGCCACCTGCTGCTCTCTTATATATCTGATCCAACAGTGATGGAATGACTGTCCCATAATTCTCTCTACTTCCCCCCTCCTTTCTGCTGCATTCTTAAAATAAAAAAGCAGCAGGGATAGTAGGAGCCCCTCATAATGTCCACGGCAAGTATGCAGATCCTGGAATTCCCCATGGAATAAAAGGAACTGTCAGTCAAATGTCTGCTTTGGGCGAAGTGATCATCATCTGCGCTCACCTTTGATGCTTGTCTCTTGCGTCTGTTCCTCTGCAGTGGACTGGGCCGTTGCATACGACCTGCTGCATGGCAGTAGAGAAATCCGAGCTGGAAAATACGCTGTCGGCCAACAAAGTCTTGGCAACCCTGACAACAAAAAATATTTATATACTGAAATGCAGAACGAAGGATAGCAAGTATATTGCTCCACAAACAGAGGGTGTAGGATTTCAGCAAACTTCAAAAAAACATATAAAAACACATTAACAAAACCTAAGTCCCTTCTACAGCTCTCTCCATCTCAGATGGTTACTGGACATTCTGTACAAGTAGGACACTGCAATCACGGATCATTTACTACACAAGTTTGGAAAAGGATTTTATCTGGTTGAGTCTGTAAACCCTAACAATCAACTATTTATCTCAACCTCTCTGCAGCTTTTGACACGGTTGACCACCCACTCCTCCTCAAAAAACTCCACTCTCTTGGCCTCAGAGACTCCACTCTCTCCTCCTATTTATCCCAGTGCTCCTTCAGTGTTACCTATAACACTACCACCTCCTCTTCACTCCCTCTCTCTATTGGGGTCCCTCAAGGCTCTGTCTCTGTCCTCGGACCCCTTCTCTTCTCCATCTACACCTCCTCCCTTGGCCAACTGATAAACTCCCATGGCTTCAATTACCATCTCTATGCCGACGACACACAAATCTATCTCTCCACCCCTCACCTCACCCCTTCAGTCTCCACTCGTATCACGAGCCTACTAAGTGACATATCGGATTGGATGTCACTCCACTTCCTCAAACTCAATCTCTCCAAAACTGAGCTCCTAGTATTCCCCCCAGCCCGCGCCGCCCCCCCTGACTTCTACATCAAGATCAACAACACAGTCATCAGCCCCACCCCTCATGCCAGGGTACTAGGTGTAATCCTAGACTCCCATCTGTCCTTTCAGCCCCAGGTCCAATCGCTGACAAACTCGTGTAGACTTCACCTCTGCAACATCTCCAAGATACGCCCGTTCCTAACCTCAGAAACCACTAAGCAACTTATTCACTCCCTTGTTATATCACGCCTTGACTATTGTAACTCCCTCCTCATTGGCCTAACTCATCGCAGGCTATCCCCTCTTCAGTCTATCATGAATGCTGCTGCTAGATTCATTCACCCTACTAACCGTTCTGTATCTGCCACCCCTCTCTGAAAATCCCTCCACTGGCTTCCAATTGCTCAACGGATAAAATTCAAAACACTAACACTGACGTATAAAGCCGTTCAGAACACTGCCCCAAACTACATCACCGATCTTGTCTCCAAATATCACTCTAAGCGTACTCTCCGCTCCTCACAAGACCTCCTACTCTCTAGCTCCCTCGTCTCCTCCTCCCATGCTCGTCTCCAGGACTTCTTCCATCCTCTGGATCTCCCTACCCCAATCTATCAGACTATCGCCTACTCTGCTCACTTTTAGGTGCACTTTGAAAACCTCTCTCTTCAGGGAAGCCTACCCCGCCCTCAGCTAATACTGGAATCCTCTACTCTCCCAACTAGTCCATCCCCCACAGTTATTACCTTTTGTGTACCACTATCCCCTCCCTAATGTATTGTAAGCTCCAAGGAGCAGGGCCCTCGAATCCCTCTTGCATTGAACTGTATTGTTACTGTACTGTCTCGTGCACTGTCTCCCACCATATTGTAAAGCGCTGAGCAAACTGTATAATAATAATATTTATTAATATATATAAATCCTGTATAATAATAATAATATTTATTTGTTGTATGATTTAAATATAAAACGAGCGCTGGATATAAATGCAAAGAGCAGCTAGCATGAAAGGCAAAACCCCTAAGCCTTCCGGGAAACATATAAATTCAGCATGCAGCGCTAAAGGAAACAGTATAATCCATATGGGAAAAAAACAAAATATCTCAGTGCGATATTGATAATGTATCACAAATATATTGTAGTCTCTAGGGTGGGTGAAATAACCCAAAAACCGTAATAAAGTTCTTAGCAAGTAAGTATAGTAATAAACGGCACACTGGGATTTATACAAGTGCATTTAGTGAAGTGACAGTCAATCATCAATATTCAGTTGACATCCGTAATATTGGTGGTATGGTGAACAAGTGTAGATTGCACTAACCAGATAGCGCATAATAAAGCGCATTTGAGTGATTAAACCAACTCCTGGTCATCCGCATCTAAGCATCTGGAACACCGGGTCATCTGGTGGGCATCGGCAGGATCTACAGCGCACCATCAGGATTTCCAGGTAACAGGAGTACAATCAAATGAACACCGGGGGGAGCCAACACTTGCGGATGTCATCAATGGTCTCCCTATGCCAGTGAAAACAAGCACTTCTTAAACTGATGGGTAAAAGATACTCTCCAGCATCCTTGTTATTCTTGATATTCCTCCTCATAAAATGAATCAGGAATTAGAGATGATGGTATTGTAAATGAATAACATTTATTAATTTACATCTAAAATCGAAGAAAACCGCTTCCACAAACATATACAGCTCCAGTGTATGCATTAGTACTAAGGCAGAATATCAAGAATAACAAAAATGCTGGAGAGTGTCTTTTACCCATCAGTTTAAGAAGTGCTTGTTTTCACTGGCATAGGGAGACCATTGATGACATCTGCAAGCGTTGGCTCCCCCCGGTGTTCATTTGATTGCACTCCTGTTACCTGGAAACCCTGATGGTGCGCTGTAGATCCTGCTGATGCCCGCCAGATGACCCAGTGTTCCAGATGCTTAGATGCGGATGACCAGGAGTTGGTTTAATCACTCAAATGCGCTATCTGGTTAGTGCAATCTACACTTGTTCACCATACCACCAATATCACGGATGTCAACTGAATATTGATGATTGACTGTCACTTCACTATATGCACTTGTATAAATCCCAGTGTGCCGTTTATTACTATACTTACTTGCTAAGAACTTTATTACGGTTTTTGGGTTATTTCACCCACCCTAGAGACTACAATATATTTGTGATACATTATCAATATCGCACTGAGATATTTTGTTTTTTTCCCATATGGATTATACGGTTTCTTTTAGCGCTGCATGCTGAATTTAAATATTTATTTGTTGTTTTTGACCTGTATATATACACACAATTGAAAGTGTTTTATTATGTATTTTCAAAACAAAATACCTGTTGATCAGATCAGAAACTCGGAGCTCTCCTGTGTCCTCTCCACACCTCTTGTGCTATGTCAAGGAATCTAATTTGCCCTCCTAGTTCTTATAGTAGACAACAGAATAATTAGTGTATGTTGTAGAGATGAGAGTGGAAATATTTGAGTATGTTTCGGAGTCTCACAGGACCCCTTCATCAGGCATGTGACACGTTGCCTTGCTGTAACTATGTGATCGTTCATTAAAACTTTTGGACCCATATTGGTGATCCTTAGTGTGCTGGTGACATTCTCCCTTATCATGTTCTATGACACACTGTATTGGCACCCCCAGAACTGTGACTGAGCTGTCATAACCAATTACTATGGATCAGAGGCCACTAGTTGGAGCCCCCGATGACTTTAGCACAGTACAGCCATTCCCATTGTGGCAAGATCAGGGGCTCCAGTGACCATCTTCTGGCATCATGGCCTATTAAAAATGCTGGCTGGGGTAAAGAGGTTAATATATACAGATGGCACCAGCTAACTCTCCGGAAGGGGAATTATAAAATGCGGTCCAGCTGTTTAAAGGATAAGTTAACCTTCTAGGAAAAAATAACTAATATACATATTTTAGCTGGAAAAAAAAATGTGTATTTATTATTTTTTTCCCAAAGAAGCCTGGAAAGCATTGCAGCGGATAGGGGTTGCAATGCCAGATTCCTACAGCTTTCAGCCTGTACCTTCACACAGGCTGTCTGTTTATAAGCTGCAGGGCATATGAATGAGCTCTCATCAGTGAACCTGCAGTCCACTTAGAACTACAAGCTGTCAGCCGCAATGGCTGAAGGTAGATGTAGTTCATGCATTCACAGGAAACTGCAAATTAATGATGCAGCCAAGTGGACATTATATTCAAAAAGTGACAGTGTTCACTGTGAGAAAATCCTGGCTCACTGTCACTGGGAGGTGTGGTAGAGAGGGTGAGGCTGCAGCTGCTGGAAAATGTTACATGTTCCAGCCGTATTCACAAAAGATTTACACTTATGTGGTTTTCAGTGCGTTTCCCAGTTTGCAGAAACACACTACAGTGCATTTAACATGATTTCCTATGGATCTATTTCACATCTGTGTGTTTAGAACCGGTGCAGATTTTTGAAAGGGTCAGGGACTTTTTGTCCCGCAGCAGATTGCATTTTGGGTGTAACAGACTTCAATGGAACCGCATCAAAAATACATGCATTTTTGGTGCGTTTCCTGCATAACAGACACCTCTCCCTAGCAACATTAAACACATCATAAAAAAAGCAAAACCAAAAAAAAAAAATTTAAAATGCATCAACCACAACCTGCATAAGTGTGAACCTAGCCCTAACATGGAACAAATTCTTCCTGACCCATCGTGGCAATCAGATATCCCTGGACCTACTGCCTAGTATGAGTAGAGCAGGAAATGTTTACTATATCTGCTGGAAGATTATTTCTAATGAAAATAACCCATTAAAATCCTTTACACAACTGAAGATTACATTGTTTCTCTTCCAACGATAAGAGATTTTCCAGGACATTCCATTGCCACGACCATAATATTGAGCAAGATAAATAGTGAGAGGGAATCTTCCCAACAGGGACCCCACAATGAAAACCTGACAGAGGATCTCACACTACACAGCTCCATCCTAAACTGAAAAAAACATCCACTTTAACTACTTTCCCGCCGCCCTATAGGAGAAATACTGCTACAGGGCGGCAGGGGTGCGCAAAATCACACACACACACACATATATATATATATATATATATATACACACACATATATATATATATATACATATACACACACACGTGATTTTGCATTTCTAGGTAGGCGGACTCACCTATCGATCACTGGGTCCCGGCCGGTGATTCCCAGCTGGCACCTGGCGATCACCATGTATCATGGACGGGGGGAGAGACCTGTGTGTAAACAATATAAACAATACAGATCTCTCCCCCGTCAACTCCAGCACACTGCTTTTTATTGCTCTGCATAGCTTACAGTGAAACAAACACACACACACAGACCCCATAGTAAAACAGCACACAGTTAACCCTTTGATAGCCTCCATTGTTAACCCCTTCATGCCTAGTGCCATTAGTTCAGTGTCAGTGCTTTTTATTAGCACTGATCACTGTACTGGTGTCACTGGGGGTGTCAGTGACAGTTAGTCAGTTGCCCCCCAGTGTCAGAATGCCAGCCACAGTCCAGCTAAGTCGCTGATCGCTGCCATTAGTAGTATAAAAACTAAAAAAAAATCCAGTATATATACCGCCATTTGTAGACGCTATAAACTTTCAAGTAAACCAATTAATTTACACGTATTGGGATTTTGTTTTAGCAAAATACATTTTGGCCTAAATTTGATTTTTAAAATTCTTTACTGGATATGTTTTATAGCAAAAAGTAACAAATATAGTTTTTTTCTCAATATTGTCACTTTTTAAATTTTTTTTCATAGCGCAAAAAATAAACGCACAGGTGATCAAATACCAGTGAAAGAAAGCTATATTTGTGGGAAAAAAGGACGTAAATTTGATTTGGGTGCAGCGTTGCATGACCACGCAATTGTCAGTTAAAGTAAAGCAGCGCCATATCGCAAACATGGCCTGGTCGGGGGGGGGGTAAATCCTCTGTAGGACAAGTGGTTAAACAGTCCTTCTCCTAGGACCGTGTTATGTCAGGGGTAGATCAATGCAGCCCTCTTACATTACCTTGTAGGTAAGCCTCTCTGCCTTCTCTGGACCCTTCCAAGGTATGTCAAGGGAGATATGTATGAAGGTGTATTGAAGATGAAGCCATATAAATACATTGAATATTTTGCTAGCTTTACAAGCTGCAGCTTGGCACTAATTGCTGTCACCGAGTCCTACAAGACCACCAGGGAAGCTGACAAGGTGGATCAATGCTAGGTGGATCAGTTCTAGATGGATCAATGCAAAGTGGATCAGTTCTAGGTGGGATCAATGCTAGATGGGATCAGTGCTAGGTGGGACCAGTGCTAGGTGGATCAATGCAAAGTGGATCAATTCTAGGTGGGATCAGTGCTAGGTGGATTAGTTCTAGGTGGAATCAATGCTAGGTGGATCAATGCTAGATGGATCAATGCAAAGTGGATCAATGCAAAGTGGATCAATTCTAGGTGGGATCAGTTCTAGGTGGATCAATGCTAGGTGGATTAGTGCTAGGTGGATCAGTGCTAGGTGGGATCAATGCTAGGTGGATTAGTGCTAGGTGGATCAGTGCTAGGTGGATCAGTGCTAGGTGGATCAGTGCTAGGTGGGATCAATGCTAGGTGGATCAGTTCTAGATGGATCAATGCTAGGTGGATCAGTTCTAGGTGAATCAATGCTAGGTGGGATCAGTTCTAGGAGGATTAGTTCTAGGTGGATCAATGCTAGGTGGAGCAGTGCTAGGTGGATTAGTTCTAGGTGAATCAATGCTAGGTGGGATCAGTGCTAGGTGGATTAGTTCTAGGTGGGATCAATGCTAGGTGGATTAGTTCTAGGTGGATCAGTGCTAGGTGGATTAGTTCTAGGTGGATCAGTACTAGGTGGATTAGTTCTAGGTGGATCAGTGCTAGGTGGATCAATGCGAGGGACATGCAGACAGCCCAGCACAGGAGATCCCACTGCAGAGCATACACGGGTTACAACCCCTGTTTCGAGATCCGTGTCTGCAGCACTGACGATGGCACTGCCAGCACAGGGGCAGCTGTGACTCTCCATTCCCCTTTAACACTCACCAGCCTTCATCAGCCCAGACACCGCACAGGAAGCCATGCTGTCTCCTGGAAGGTCAACTCGACAGCTTCCTCTGTGTAGTGTTTCCTGTCCCAGACACAGAGGGCTCCGGCGCCACCTGCTGGACAATCTGGTTATTGCTAGCCGATATTAACTATTCGATCACCATGATTTTATTCAAATAATGATCTAACAATGAAGTCATAAAAACTATATTATATTAAAATGACTGACTCTACGATGAAAACATTGTCAGGGATAACAGTCACACGGATGATTTCTCATGAACTGCTTTATGTTTATCTGATTGGATTATATATAGAATCTATTCAAAACGTCCTCCACGGACCCTGCTGTCATGGAATTGTTGGGTTCATCCAGTATAAATGAAGAGAAATCAGAAGATCAGATTGTACTGGTAATGTTCTGGTCAGTCTTAGTGTCACTGCATTTCCTGTAGGAAGTATTAGAATGAAAGTTGATACTTTGTTGCCATCTAGTGGTTTCCTGGCAACGGTTTCCAGGGAGTCCTGGTTGGCAGGAACAAGAGGCTTTATTAAGTGGTGTGTGTGCTGGGCCTGTCTTCTCACTGCTCCTCTTCTGGGTCCATAGAGACACATGGCTGACAATCCCCCTCCGCACATCTCATCAGAGGGTCAGGAGACAACCTACCCCCAAACCAGCGACTTTTATCGAGTACAGCCCGACTTACCTGCCAAGTTTAATCACCCGGAGACGTGGAGACAAGGATATAGGTACGTGGCCTCATTCTTACCGAAAGCCTCCTCTATTTATTAACAATATACCTAACTGCAATTTTATGAATAATGTTCCAGAAGATGTCTGTAATTTAAAGTCACTGAACACAATCTGACCTTGTTTTGTTATGGAGCCACCTAAAGGATCACTCCACCTAGAAATATTTTCACTTCTGGTGGATGCCCAGTAACACCAAGGTTCTTGCTTTAGTATTGTATATAATGGGGAAGAGTTAAAGTGGTTGCAAAGCTACTTTTTTCCCCAGAAAATAATAAAAATGTTATACTTACCCACTCTGTGCAGTGGTTTTGTGCAGAGCGGCCCCATACCTCCTCTTCCCTCAGCCTGTACTCTTGGCTCCCCCTCTTCTCCAATTGCCCCCATAGCAAAGCCCTTGCTATATTTATTATTATTTAATTATTACAGGTACTTATATAGCGCCATCAGTTTACGCAGCGCTTTACATATATACAGTATATATATATATACACACAGTGTACATTCACATCAGTTCCTAACCCTCAAGGGGCGTACAATCTAAGGCCCCTAACTCACATTCATATACAAGGGCCAATCTAGACAGGATCCAATTAACCTACCAGCATGTCTTTGGAGTGTGGGAGGAAACCAGAGTACTTGGAGGAAACCCATGCAGGCACAGGGAGAACATGCAAACTCCAGGCAGGTAGTGCCATGGTTGAGATTCAATCCAAAGACCCTAGTGATGCCAGGCAGAAGTGCCAACCATTTAGCCACTGTGGTATAGGGGCACTTATGTGGGTTTGATCCCAGCTGTGCTGTGTATGTCCATAGACACACACAGTGCAGCTCAGCCCCACCCTCCCCCTCATCACAAGATTTGACTGACAGCAGCAGGAGCCAATGGTTCCCCCTGCTGCCAAGGTGAGAAGAACTACTGTAGATGGGCACTGCACCTGATCAAAATCAGGCTCAGCTAAGTGTTTAGAAGTGGGCTGGGGGGGAGCAGCTTTTGAAAAGCAGAGAAAGAGTAAAAATTCTGAATGAAGCCTCTGCCGACTACTATACACCCTTTCTATAAATAAAAGAAATATGGTGCTCCAAAAAACTTTATACGCAGCCCTGCTAGATCCAAATATAAAGTGTTAAGTGCATTTAAACCATAACATTCATATTAATATAGTGCAATTCTAAGAAAAGTGTCCCATGCCAAAAAAAGTGATCAGTGTCCAGTTATTTGTGCAATCGTATTCACATATGAAGGTTTCCACCATCTTTCCTCTATAGTCCCACTGAATTTGTTGGAACAATTGTGGGACTATTGAGGAGGGATGGTGGTAACCTCCACATGTGAATACGATTACACAGATAACTGGACTTTGATTGTTTTATTTGGCACAGGACATTTATCTTCAGATTGCACTATATTAATATGAATGTTATGGTTTAAATGCACTTAACACTTTATAGTTGATCTTAGTAGGGCTGTGTATATACATGAATTATTGTTGTAAAGTTTTTTTTAGAGTTCAGTATTTCTATTAATTTATTTATAAGTCATCTTTTGACTACAGCAGCTTGGTTCCCCAAAAGGGGAAGTTCCACTTTAAGTACTGGTCCCCCGTAAGGAATTGGCACCTGGGGGGAGCAGGTACCTGTCAAAATCGGGTAACCACTCCCCCCACTTCCACTGCAACCGCCTATGCGATTGGAAGCGGAAGTTGTACTCTCTCACCGTAGTCTTCTGGGACATGTGACTGGTCTCAGAAAACTATGGGACCATTCACAAGGTGCAGCGCATGTGTAGTGGGCAGCCACTATTTTTTTTTTTAGGTTTGACTGGAGCTCTGCTTTAAATACATGATGGGGTATGAACACTAAGAATTCTGGATGAACCATCTTCACGCTGCTATGTACCCTTTTTAGCAAACTTTGCACAAAAAAATCAGTTTTTTGTGCCGTTTGATAGAAAAATAGTATAGCAGTGTGCAGGGTTCATTCAGAATTTTTAGTGTTAAAGAATATGTAAACCCAATATTTCATATTTCTGATATGTGCCTGCTGTACCATATACCTGTATATAAAAGTATCCTGTTCTCTTTGTATTGTTTCCTTTGTGTGAAATCCCTGGTGTTCCTGCCAGTCTCTCTGCTTTCCTATATAAAAACTAACTACACTAGGCATCAGAGTACATCGTAGTCAGTTCTCTAGCTATGCTGGGAACTCAGTCTGCTTCTTTCCAATGATTAGACTTGTGCTGACACCGCCAACCCCCCTCCCGCAACAGCCATTCAATGGGAATGTCAGTTTCATACTGTTTCCCCTACCCCAGCTTTTATGCAGCTGAATACAGAGGGTATGTGATCACTTATAAAAAAAAGGGAAAGAATGTTTATTATGTTATTCTGTTATTGATTTTTTTTCTGACATGTTGGTGTTATATCTTTCACGTGGATGTTATACATTGCACTTACAGTATCTCACAGAAGTGAGTACACCCCTCACATTTTTAAAAATATTTTATTCTATCTTTTCATGTGACAACAGTGAAGAAATAACACTTTGCTACAATGTAAAGTAGTGAGTGCACAGCTTGTATAACAGTGTAAATTTGCTGTCCTCTCAAAATAACTCAACACACAGCCATTAATGTCTAAACCGCTGGCAACAAAAGTGAGTACACACCTAAGTGAAAATGTCCAAATTGGGCCCAACTGTCAAAATTTTGTGTGACAACCATTATTTTCCAGCACTGCCTTAACCCTCTTTGGCATGGAGTTCACCAGAGCTTCACAGGTTGCCACTAAAGTCCTCTTCCACTCCTCTATGATGACATCACAGAGCTGGTGGATGTTAGAGACCTTGCGCTCCTCCACCTTCCGTTTGAGGATGCCCCACAGATGCTCAATAGGGTTTAGGTCTGGCAGACATGCTTGGCCAGTCCATCACCTTTACCCTCAGCTTCTTTAGCAAGGCAGTGGTCGTCTTGGAGGTGTGTTTGGGGTCGTTATCATGTTGGAATACTGCCCTGCAGCCCAGTCTCTGAAGGGAGGGGATCATCCTCTGCTTCAGTATGTCACAGTACATGTTGGCAGTCATGGTTCCATCAATTAACTGTAGTTCAACAATGCCGGCAGCACTCATGCAGCCCCAGACCATGACACTCCCACCACCATGCTTGACTGTAGGCAAGACACACTTGTCTTTGTACTCCTCACCTGGTTACCACCTGTCAGGGCTCTGTCCTTGGCAGAGGTGTTAGGAGACCTGGCACCCCTGCCTGTACCTTGCATGGCCACAGAAGTTCACATCGGCCAAAATTTGGCTCCAAACGGCCTTTATAAGGAAGCCCTGCCCTACTCTCAGGTGCTGGTTGATCTCTGGCTTCCCAGTACCTTGTTCCTGTTTTTTGTGTTTTCTTGATACCGACTCAGCTTGCTCTTGGACCTCTTCTCTGCTTAACCCCTGATCTGACCTCGGCTTGGCTAACGGATATTCCCTCTTTGCTCCTCTGTGTATGACCTCGGCTATCCCATCTGACTACGTCTGCTCTGATTCCCACCTGGTACCTGACCTCAGCTTTGAACTGTCTATCCTGTGATCCTGTTTCCCGGAATGCTTGCATACCTCGCACAGGCACCACCACTGCAGATCCCATCTCAGTGCATTAGCTGTGCTCCTGAGTGGACCAACAACGAGCACTCCTACAGGTGACCTGTGCCACTTTGGGCCTGACTTCTGCTGTCCAACTTTCAGGGGAGTCTGAAACTTAGCCACAAGGGAAGCCCTCTCTCCATTGGCCTCTAACATTAGGTACGTGACACTGCCACACACGCTTGACACCATCTAAACCAAATCAGTTTATCTTGGTCTCATTAGACCACAGGACATGGTTCCAGTAATCCATGTCCTTAGTCTGCTTGTCTTCAGCAAACTGTTTGAGGGCTTTCTTGCGCATCATCTTTAAAAGAGGCTTCCTTCTGGGATGACAGCCATGCAGACCAATTTGATGCAGTGTGCGGCTTATGGCCTGAGCACTGACAGGCTGACCTCCCATCCCTTCAACCTCTGCAGCAATGCTGCCAGCACTCATACGTCTATTTCCCAAAGACAACCCCTGGATTTGACACTAAGCATGTGCACTCAACCGCTTTGGTCAACCATAACCTGTTCTGAGTGGAACCTGTCCTGTTAAACATGGTCTTGGCCACAGTGCTGCATCTCAGTTTCAGGGTCTTGGCAATCTTCTTCTAGCCTAGGCCATCTTTATGCAGAGCAACAATTCTTTTTTTCAGATCCTCAGAGAGTTCTTTTCCATGAGGTGCCATGTTGTACTTCCAGTGACCAGTATGAGAGAGTGAGAGCAATAACACCAAATTTAACACACCTGCTCCCCATTCACACCTGAGACCTTGTAACACTAACGAGTCATGTGGACACCGGGGAAGGGAAAAATGGCTACTTGGGCCCAATTTGGACATTTTCACTTAGGGGTGCATTCACTTTTGTTGCCAGCGGTTTAGACATTAATGTCTGTGTTATTTTGAGGGGACAGCAAATTTACACTATTATACAAGCTGTACACTCACTACTTTACATTGTAGCAAAGTGTCATTTCTTCAGTGTTGTCACATGAAAAGATTTAATAAACATATTTACAAAAATTTGAGGGGTGTACTCACTTCTGTGAGATACTGTAGTAAATACAGCTGGAAAAATAAAACTCTGTTTGTCTTCATTTCAGCCTGCAAAACAACAAAATGTGAATATTTTAAAGGGGGAGGGGGTGATTACTTTCTATACCCACTGTGTGTGTGTGTGCGCATATATACACACACACACACACACACACACACACACACACACACGAAAAATTAGAATATCGTGCAAAGGTTAATTTATTTCAGTAATGCAACTTAAAAGGTGAAACTACTATATGAGATAGACTCATTACATGCAAAGCAAGATAGTTCAAGCTGTGATTTGTCATAATTGTGATGATTATGGCTTACAGCTCATGAAAACCCCAAATCCACAATCTCAGAAAATTAGAATATTGTGAAAAGGTGCAATATTCTAGGCTCAAAGTGTCCCACTCTAATCAGCTAATTACGCCATAACACCTGCAAAGGGTTCCTGAGCCTTTAAATTGTCTCTCAGTCTGGTTCAGTAGGAATCACAATCATGGGAAAGATTGCTGATCTGACAGTTGTGCAGAAAACCATCACTGACACCCTCCATGAGGGAAAGCCTCAAAAGGTAATTGCAAAAGAAGCTGGATGTTCCCAAAGTGCTGTATCAAAGCACATTAATAGAAAGTTATGTGGAAGGGAAAAGTGTGGAAGAAAAAGGTGCACAAGCAGCAGGGATGACCGCAGCCTGGAGAGGATTGTCAGGAAAAGGCCATTCAAAAGTGTTGGGGACTTTCACAAGGAGTGGACTGAGGCTGGAGTCAGTGCATCAAGAGCCACCACACACAGACGGATCCTGGACATGGGCTTCAAATGTTGTATTCCTCTTGTCAAGCCGCTCCTGAACAACAAACAACGTCAGAAGCGTCTTACCTGGGCTAAAGAAAAACAGACCTGGTTTGTTGCTCAGTGGTCCAAAATCCTCTTTTCTGATGAGAGCAACTTTTGAAGAAGAATGGAGAGGCACACACTGCAAGATGCTTGAAGTCCTGTGTGAAGTTTCCACAGTCTGTGTTGATTTGGGGAGCCATGTCATCTGCTGGTGTTGGTCCACTGTGCTTCATTAAGCCCAGGGTCAACGCAGCCGTCTACCAGGAGATTTTGGAGCACTTCATGCTTCCTTCCGCAGACAAGCTTTATGGGGATGCTGACTTCATTTTCCAGCAGGACTTGGCACCTGCCCACACTGCCAAAAGCACCAAAACCTGGTTCAGTGACCATGGGATTACTGTGCTTGATTGGCCAACAAACTCACCTGACCTGAACCCCATAGAGAATCTATGGGGCATTGCCAAGAGAAAGATGAGAGATATGAGACCGAACAATGCAGAAGAGCTGAAGGCCGCTATTGAAGCTTCCATAACACCTCAGCAGTGCCACAGGCTGATAGCTTCCATGCCACACCGCATTGAGGCAGTAATTGCTGCAAAAGGGGCCCAAACCAAGTACTGAGTACATATGCATGCTTATACTTTTCAGAGGTCCGATATTGTTCTATGTACAATCCTTGTTTTATTGATTGTATGTAATATTCTAATTTTCTGAGATTGTGGATTTGGGGTTTTCATGAGCTGTAAGCCATAATCATCACAATTATGACAAATCACGGCTTGAACTATCTGGCTTTGCATGTAATGAGTCTATCTCATATATTAGTTTTACCTTTTAAGTTGCATTACTGAAATAAATGAACTTTTGCACGATATTCTAATTTTTCGAGTTTCACCTGTATATATACACTGTATATATTTATTTTTCTTGCTGTTCCACAAGCAAGTAAAATATGTTATAATCTAGTTTATAATACTGTAATAAATTACATGTTGGGACTACTTTAGCGTAACTTGCTTGCCCCTAACCCAGTATTACACTATATTTCCAAAAGTATTGGGACGCCTGCCTTCACACCAAATGAACTTTAATGGCATTCCAGTCTTAGTCCTTAGGGTTCAATATTGAGTTGGCCCACCCTTTGCAGCTATAACAGCTTCAACTCTTCTGGGAAGGCTGTCACAAGGTTTAGGGTCTATGCGAATGTTTGACCATTCTTCCATAAGCACATTAATGAGGTCAGGCACTGATGTCAGACGAGAAGGTCTGGCTCGCAGTCTCCACTCTAATTCATCCCAAAGGTGTTCTATTAGGTTGAGGACAGGACTCTGTGCAGGCCAGTCAAGTTCCTCCACCCCAAACTTGCTTATCCATGTCTTTATGGACCTTGCTTTGTGCACTGGTGGGCAATCATGTTGGAACTGGAAGGGGCCATCCAGAAAACTGTTCCCACAAAGTTTGGAGTATGAAATTGTCCAAAATGTCTTGGTATGCTGATGCCTTAAGTGTTCCCTTCAATGGAACTAAGGGACCAAGCCCAACCCCTGAAAAACAGCTCCACACCATAATGCCCCCTCTACCAAACACTTGGCACAATGCAGTCTGGCAGGTAACGTTCTCCTGGCAACTGCCAAACTCAGACACGTCCATCGGATTGCCAGACAGAGAAATGTGATTTGTCACTCAAGAGAACACATCTCCACTGCTCTAGAGTCCAGTGGCAGCGTGCTTTACACCACTGCATCCAATGCTTTGCATTGCACTTGGAGATGTAAGGCTTGGATGCAGCTGCTCGGCCATGGAAACTCATTCCATGAAGCTCTCTACACTGTTGTAGTGCTAATCTGAAGGCCACACGAAGATTGGAGGTCTTGAGCTATGGACTCTGCAGACAGTTGGCGACTTCTGTGCACTGACCCAGCTGTCATTGTACGTGGCCTACCACATCAACCACCTCCGTGGCTGAGCTGCTGTTGTTCCCAGTTGCTTCCACTTTGTCAAAATACCATTAATAGTTGACCGTGGAATATTTTGTAGTAAGGAAATTTATTGAATGGACTTATTGCACAGGTGGCAACCTATCACGTTACCATCCTTGAATTCACTGAGCTCCTGAGAGTGACCCATTCTTTTACAAATGTTTGTAGAAGCAGTCCTCATGCCTAGGTGCTTGATTTTATGCACCTGTGGCCATGGGGGTGATTGGAACACCTGAACCAATGGTATGGAGTGGTGTCCCAACACTTTTAGCAATATGTAGTGTATGTTTCATAAAGATCTCCATCTACAACCAAGTTGTCATAAAGAGACCTGATCTAATGGTTCTTTCTCTTTTTCAGAACCAAGCCTGGCAACCCTCTGTACAGGACCACAAATCAAACTTATGGGAGTAAGCCGCCGTCCGTGCATGAGATGCCGGTAAGATGCAGATTATTTTGCTTATATGCGCTTGTTGGTCGGTACCATGTTGGACCACCTTTAAGTAATAGCAGTTCCATACCACAGAAGGGACTCTACTAAGGGTCCTGTATGGTTCCCAAGAAATCCTTTCCGAGAGAAAAATGAAGGCTGCTATTGCTGACCTCCTGAAAATGCTATTTTCCAGTATGTCTCTGGCTTAAGTGCTTTTAGACACTGGCCTGGCAAACGCATGCATTTAAAGAAATTAAAGTGAAGCTAGGAGTCCACATTTATGGTTGAGTGATTCGGATAGTACTGGAGCCATTAGATCATTGGAAAAGCAATTTCAGAAAAGCAAAAATGGCAGTATACATGTTCTCTCAGTACAGGTTTCCTTTAGGGTCCATTCACAGGTGCGCTGGGAATGTTTGGTGGATAATCCAGCGCAACCATATGCATCTCCTGGTTGCCCAGTTGCGTTGTGGTGGTGTGAAGGCGGTGTGCACTGAAAAGTATGGCAGGCCATACTTTTTTCAGCGCAGCAAGAGGCAATCCACAGTCTCAATCTGCACAGTGGCCAATTGAACTTAATGAAATGTCATGACATCTCAATGATGTTTATTTAAAAAAAAGTGATCAGTGCAATGCACTCAGTTTGGCACACTCGCCACTGCAGTGATCCAGCTGCACCTCAGCGCATACTACCTGCTGTGTTGTAAAGCAGTGGCTGGAGTGAATTAGCCCTAAAAGCAGACATCATTGCGTTGCAGGGTTGGCACACTTTTCTGTGGACACTTTGTACAAATACATCCTTAATAGGGTTGCCACCTCATCCCTTTAAAACTGAACACACATTGATTACACAGGTTCAGTGGCTGATTAAAGTAGTAAGTAAACTCACTTCGTGCCACATCTGCAATAAATGTGCCCCAGAAGCTGTGTAATTAATATGTGTTCGCTTTTAAAGGGATGAGGTGGCAACCCTAATCCCAAAGTCTGCCACTGCACTGGTGAAGTTGGAGCTGGAAATCACTGGAGGAGATAGCATATGTCCAACCATCATCATCCCAGTGCTATGTTCCAGCCCATTGTGAATGTGTTCTGTGGTGTGCCATGGAGAGGTGCATTGCTTTGTGGTCAACTAATATACCCTTTATACAGTCAGGAGGAGAATGCAATAGCCTGGCTCCAATATTGTGATTCAATTGATGTGCTTGCTGTCACCTGGCAATCTGCCGTTATAGCTCAAGTCCTCCAAAATCTCCCTGTACATAGCAGACTCTTTGATTGGAATTCATGTTATTGAAAATTCCAACAAGTCAACAGCCACAGAGATACGTACACCCACCCAAGCCTTCTCATTGTCTGTTAAGCCATGTAAATCCATTCTCTGTCATCTGTTCACATACAAAGTCAGTGTGAAAATGCAGACCTCTTTTTTTATAAGTTTCCTGTGATGCAAATAGGCCTACATCCACTTTAATGGGTTTAGGTTCTGATTTATTTATACACTGAATGTACACAGTTGTATGGTCCTACTGTCAGACTTAGATTTGTGAACGAGTACAGTAATCATAAAGGAAAATCATTTGCAGTTTGATGTTTTATACATACTCAGTCACCACTTTATTAGGTACCTCTGTTTGCTAATGAAAGTAGAGCATCACATGGCTGCATCTCAATACATGAAACATGGGGACATAGTTAGGAAGTTTATCTGCTGGACCAAACATCGTAACGACCTACATAAATTTGAATGATTGTTGGTAGCAGACAGCATGGTTGCAACATTGCAGAAACTCCTGGACTTTCTGGATTTACAAATTGAAGTTGAATGTACAGAAAATGCTTTGTAAAACAAATGCACCTTTTTAATGAGGGAGGTCAGGGGAGAATTGCTATTTCACATTGACAAAGTCCACAGCCACTCTGTGAAGCATTGCTGTACTGAAGGCCTTCCCTGAACACGTGAAACGTTGTAAAGAATGGATTGCAGCAGATGATCACACCAGGTTCTCTTCTGCAAGATTTGTGACTACAGGAAACCAGATGTAAAAGAAGTGGGGGACATAACCAATATATGGCCCAGACTGTTGGCAGACAAATAATGTTGTGAGGGTGTTGTATAACAGCTGCTTCCCCATGGAAAGGACACAACATACCTAAATGCCATATGCATACAGACCCAATCCACTACTAGTGAAATATTTTAGAACATTCCCATTTTTCCAGTTTTATGGTTACGTTCACGGAGTTCATTGTCTCAATGTATGATTCAAATTTTGATTCATTGGTCCATAAGACCATGGTCCCAGTCTGAGGTCTGCTGTACAGTGGATTTCAAGAAGCTAATGCCAGATCACATTTGGGTGCTTGTACTGCTTGTACATAAAATACATATAATAATGTGCTGGTAAATGATGCATTAATCTGCCTTTTTTTTATTTGAAACACATTCAGCCTAAATCTACTCTTGAATATGTTGCCCAGTGAGGTACCTACTGTTTTATGCACATTGTTGGCTCTCAGAAACTTGACTTCTGGATCTGTTGTGGTTTTGGGTTTGCCAGACCTGTCACTGCCAGAGTGCCTTTTGTTGCTGTAGGAAACTATACTCGTTGACACCTTAGCTTTTCCTTAATAATGGTGTGTTGTTTTCCTTTGTTAAAGGAAACATTTGGGGTTTTAAAAATACAAATATACATCCTCCACCTCCATGCTGCAACATCAGTGTGAACCTGCAGCTGTTCCCTGCTGGCTATATGCTCAAGAACTGAGTGATCACATCACTGCTGATCATTTAGTTCTTGGTTTTCCTGGAGCAGAGAGCATGACGCATATGCATTTTTGCAGCATTTGAAGTGCGTCTTTTCAAGACATGACTAAAAACTGCACATAAAACGTAATGCAGGTGCATTTTTTTTATGCCTTTCTGTTGAGTTTTTCATTGATTTCAATGGGGAGGGGAGTTTTATCTACCACACCAAAAATGCAGCAAGCAGGATTCACAACGGTTCAGTGTGAAGAATTTCATAGGAAATACACAGTCACACATTTTTCTTCCGCTTTTTTAATGGAAAAGTGGAAGAAGAACAGATCAGTGTGAAAGCAGCCTTATACAGGGGGTTTGTAACGCATTCAAAATTGTGGAACCTATAGAAATTATTTGTATAAACATTGAAGGTCTAAATTGCTTCCATTGCTGGAACAAAAGCTCAAAGTTGTGAACCCATTACTGGTACCCTTACTAAACTTTACATTATTTTCCAATATTTGGTCACCTAATTTTTTCATGTTTGCTACAAAGAAGCAGGAAATAAAATTATGTTTATTGGATGTTTTTCTCTGCTTTTAGACAAAGTTTAAAGGAGTTTCCGATAAGTTTTCAGAAGCAGCTACAAAATGCGGCATGTATAGAAACAACGGACTCAACACACACATGGAGAAAAGTTTTGTGACGGGGCCAGACAATCTAATCACCTTCCATGACAGACTGAATTTTCACCGGAGCTACAACATCAGTGGGCCATCACAGTCAGCTTGATTGCCATTTAACAGACAAAACTTTACTACCTGAGATTTATAACTCAATAACTTAATATTCAGATTCCTGCATTTGTGAAGGACCATTTTCTGTATATATTCAATGATTGATTCATAAAGCATCTATCTAGTAACATTTGCAGTTATATGTGGAGTCTTCGTTTTATTTTGGTTTCTTTCTTTTGGGAAATGAGATCATGATCTCCTTGCCAGATTTCCTGGCTTTGTTCTTGTCCACCTGGTGATGTTGCCACTTCTTCATACTATATAAAATTAATAAAAATAGAGTCCTAAAGTGTGGAGAGCTCATCAGTAGGGCCCCCAAAAAGTTGAAAGAAATTGTCACAGGGTTTACCTTCCAGAAATATCAGATCTGGGCAGGCTAAATATTGACCTATAAAAACAACAAAGGAAGCGCACAAAATTACTATCCTATAATAATAGTCCATGGGAATGATTTACTAAAGGCAAATAGACTGTGTGCACTTTGCAAGTGTAGTTGCACTCATTTTTCTCAGAACATAGTGAATGTGGCGAAGCTCTGCTGATTTTCTTTACCCAATCATGTGCAAGCAAAATCGCATTTTTTTTTTTTTTTACTTTCCTTGCACCTGATTTGGCATTCTTTACAAAGTAAAGCTTCACACCCTCACTTAGGCAAATGGGGGAAAAAGAGTGCAACTACACTTGCAGAGTAGACAGTCTATGTCTTTAGTAAATCAACTCACATGAGTCCACAAAAAGGAATGCCCTTAAAGTGGTTCTAAAGTCTTAATTGTTATTTATATTACCTTAATGCATTCCCTGCATTAAGGTAAAAAAAACACCCCGCTAACTGTCCCTCCCCCATCCTTAAACACTTACCTGACTCCTTTGTCAATACAGCTCTATCCTGTCTGTAGCGGCTTTGCTCTCTCTTCCTGGTCTCACAGGGGACTCTGACAGCAGTGAGAGCCCTAGGTTCCTGTTGGTGTCAGTCAAATCCTGTGAGACGCGAGTAGGGGCATGGCCAAGCTATGCTGTGTGTGTTTATGGACACACAAAGCCTGGCTTAGGAGCTCACCCACATGGATGCCACCTCAGCAAGGTGGGGGAACTCTGAGGAAAGAAGGAGCAGACAGTACCCCTGGGTTACTCCAAAAAACAAAGTAATGGATTGCTCTGTGCAATATCAAATGTACTCCAAAAGAGAAAGTAATGGATTGCTCTGTGCAATATCAAATGTACTCCAAAAGAGGAAGTAATGGATTGCTCTGTGCAATACTATTGCACAGAGCAGAAAAGTATAGCATCTTTTTTAGTTAATGTTGGGTCGCTTGCAAATGATCCATGAAAATCATAAGTAGTAGTCCTCCTGCTTCTCCCTTGATGAGATCCAGCTTTAACACTTAAGGAAGAGAAGGGTACAGGAGCGATCACTAGAGAGTACAATTGTATTCATTACAAACATATGCAGACTTACTTCTGCTAAAATGATCATCCAGTGAAAAAACATCAGCAGAGTAGGTGCAGGGAGAGCACTGGGAAAGCCTGAGAAACTTCCTCATCAGCAGTGCAGCTGTCAGTGTGTGAGCCAATCCTGGTGCTGAAAAACTGACAGGTGGAGTAGTAGAGAGTGGCTGCAGCAGCTACAGAGGCTGGAAGTTTCCCAGGCTTTCCTGGCACTCTCCTAGCACCTATTCTGCTGATGTTTTTATCACCAGATGATTGTTTTATCAAATGTAAGGCTGCATTTTTTTTATTGAATACATTTGTACTAATTTTAATTTTTCCTGTGCCCTTCTCTTACTTGTTTTAAAAATATTAACCTGAATGTATACATTTAAAAATCATGAAATTTGTTATGCTGCATTTTGGTAAAAATATAAAACATGCACTTTACCATGTTACCTCAGCAAATGGTAAAAAAAGGTGTGCTGAAGTAGCATTCCAATTTGAGTCATTTGTATGTTGTAGTGTACTATTTTTGGGGAAAAAAAAAAGGGTATGATAGACATGTGCGGTAACAGTAATATACCCCAACAGTGTTAATTCAGCTTTAAAATGATCAAACAAATCTACTTATTTTCAGTTTTGGTGGATGCTCGTTTTACTTTTTTTTGTGTGGTAATGGAAATTAGAAAAATAAAAATTGCCACCAGCTGTTAATTTTTCTTTCTTCAGAAAGTTTCCAGCACCGCTTTCTGTCATAGCTGTGAAGAGGAAGGGGACCACTACCAATGTTGCCTTCTCCACTTTCACGCCAATCTCTGCACCAAAGGGGGTTACAATCTAATGTCCCCACTACACTAATGCATCATACATTAATATATAATCTGCAGGGTTCTGCATCAGAGGTGATTACACTAGTCATATAAAACACTGTCACCCATATGCTGTGACATTAGTGAAAATGACACAACACGGCAATTACTAAATTCTGAACAAACTGAAACTTTATTATGCAAAACATGAAAATACAGAAGAGAGGGCACTGTGTACACACACTACAATGTGAATGCTCAGACAGGGCTTTCCTGATCCACAAAAGGTCATTCTCATGTTTACAAAACATCCAACTTGTGGGCTAGAAATGAAGGGCCAGATTAATGGCGTTATCACCCTGTGCATTCAGCCAGATACTTCCACTTACAGTTGTGACCAAAATTATTCAACCCCCCAATGCTGTAAAGGGGTTTAGGGACTATAGTGTACATTTGGAATTGTATTCAGAATCAAATCCTACAAGGACGTTGTAACTACCCAAATGCAACTAAAAAATGACATCAATTGTTTTATGTAATACAGTAGTAAATGGTTCTTATGTGGTTTCTTCATTGCCACAATTATTCAACCCCTTAAAGACTACCACTCTGAAGAACAGAGGTTCATACAGGTGCTTTCCATCAGGTATTGAAAACACCTGTGGATGTCACCGAGCAGCAATCAAGCATAATAAGCACCAATTAGGCAGCTTTAAAATGACTGTGATACTCAGCTCCTTCTAGACATTTACTGGTGTGGTTACAAACATGGTGAAGGCAAGAGAATGGTCCAGGAAGACAAGAGAAGAGGTGATTTCTTTCACAGGAAGGGCAATGGCTATAAGAAGATTGCAAAGATGTTAAACATACCAAGAGACACCTTAGGAAGCATCATTCGCAAATTCAAGGCAAAGGGCACTGTTGAAACGCTACCTGGTCGTGGCAGAAAGAAGAATGCTGACTTCGACTGCTGTGCGCTACCTGAAGCGTAGAGTGGAGAGAAGTCCCCGTGTGACTGCTGAGGAACTGAGAAAAGATTTGTCAGATGTGGGGTACAGAAGTTTCAGCCCAGACAATAAGACGCACACTGCGTAATGAAGGCCTCCGTGCCAGAACTCCCAGGCGTACCCCCTTGCTGTCTCCAAAGAATAAGAAGAGTCGACTGCAGTATGCCAAAAGCCATGTGGACAAACCACAAAAGTTGTGGGATAGTGTTCTGTGGACTGATGAAACAAAAATTAGAACTGTTTGGGCCCATGGATCAACGCTAATGTTTGGAGGAGGAAGAACAAGGCCTATGATGAAAAGAACACCTTGCCTACTGTGAAGCATGGTGGAGGGTCAATCATGCTTTGGGGCTGTTTTGCTTCTGCAGGTACAGGGAAGCTTCAGCGTGTGCAAGGTACCATGAATTCTCTTCAGTACCAGGAGATATGGATGGAAACGTGATGCAGTCCGTCACACACCTGAGGCTTGGGAGACGTTGGACCTTTCAACAGGACAATGATCCCAAGCATACCTCCAAGTCCACTAGAGCATGGTTGCAGAGGAAAGGCTGGAACATTTTGGAGTGGCCATCGCAGTCACCAGACTTAAATCCGATTGAGAACCTCTGGTGGGACTTAAAGAAAGCAGTTGCAGTGCGCAAGCCTAAGAATGTGACTGAACTGGAGGCCTTTGCCCATGAAGAATGGGCGAAGATACCCGTAGATCGCTGCAAGACACTTGTGTCAAGCTATGCTTCACGTTTAAAAGCTGTTATAACTGTAAAAGGATGCTGTACTAAGTACTAAGATTGAATGTCACTTGGGGGTTGAATAAAACTGATAATGCTGTGAGCACAGAAAAGACATTTGTGGTTATTTCATTATAACTGTTATGTTATATTTGTCTGACCTACAAGTGCCTCTTTAATGTAAATGTAAGCAAGATGACTGAATGATCAAAAGCAATGTCAAACTGGCCAAAACACTCAATTTCATGGGGGTTGAATAATTTTGGTCACAACTGTACCATGGGAATCATCTCCACTTCTCTTGCAAATGATGTAAAAGACATCTGAATGGAACTGACATTACATTAACAAATGAACATAAGCTACACAAGTGATTCTTGGTTGTATTTATTGTGCAGTAAATTAATCACTTACTATATGTAAAAACTGAACAGATTTAACTCCAACTATAGACACCCCAATCATCCACAATCAGGCTCAGCTATTAAACGTGGCCAATATAAGAAGCGTGGTGTCTAGTGTCAGCCTAAAGCTAGATATACTGGCCATCACAGAACCACAATTTATCACTGATGGGATGTTAAAGAAGAAACTGCTCCCATTGGTTGTTTCCCAGAAGTGGTGTGTCATTGTGCATGATGCTATGGGGGTACTCTCTGCTTCTTACTAGCACTGCATGCAAAAATGGCTGGGCAATGAGAGCCACAAGTACTTGCTGGGAGCTTCAGCTGTGCCCAGTGACCACTGTTCTGACAGGTTCTCTTTATCATGTCTGGGATAACTACTGCTCACAGCAACCACATTCAAATCAGTTACAATTGGGTTATAATAGCTAGATACCGACAACGTGCTATAGAAGCAACAGTACTATTTTGTTTAATGAATTCCAATATTAAAGCAGAACTAAACCCTGAACTCCTTTATAGCCAAGGAAGCTGTCATCCTAGCCTCTGTTTGATCTACGTTTGTCATGGTGCTGCAAGTGATCAGTTATGACACCAGACATTTGAAGGCTTCACGGTT